GGGGAAGGTTTCATCCCCTCCCACTCTTGGAGGGGATGGAGGGTCTTTTCCAGGCCAAGTGTGGTCCTAGCTCATGGGCTTCAGAACATTTATGTGTGGCAGCATGGGCACCCCAAGCCTTCCTGATCTCCTTAGTATGTACTAAATGTTATGGTTAAAAATCCCACAACAGTTCAAATCACCCAGGAGGATGTACAGCGGAAGTAAAGCCTCTCCCGGAGCCCACCCTCTCCTCTCCCAGCCGGCAATGACTCTCACCTGTCTCTGTGTGGCTCCCAGGTCCGTCTGCACATAGATTTTCTTTACAAATACAGCCCGATCATGCTGTACATTGTGTCTGGGGTGACATTCCAAGAGCCCTGGTTTTCGACCTGTGTCCACTGTCACTGAGAATGAAGTTTAGGATTCATTGTCCATTTCCCTATGGGTTCAGTTTTCCACCGTCACAGTGATCACTGCTGCCAGGTGCTCGTCTCCCACGTGCACTGTGGGTGGTGTGTGGGGCCCCCTCCCAGCTCTCCAATCACTGACTGAAAGGACTGGTCACTGTTTGGAAAGGCTGGCTGGGGGTGGGCCCAGGAGGGACTGGTCTGCATGTGGAGTGCATGTGCATGTGTGGGGCAACCCCAATGTCCCCAGCAGGTGGGGGTGAGGTAATGGAATGAGGACTCAGGTCTTCCCATGCCTGGTGCAAGAATCTGACTACGCTAGCCCAGTGTCCCCCTGCCTTCCTGAAATATTGCCACCTGGGTCTGATTGGAAGCTGAGTCCAGCAATTAATCCCGTCTGAGCTACACTCAGTGTAGAGGGGTTTCTGCAGTGCTCCCCTGGCCTAGATTTCCCTGGGGACAACTCTGACCGCCGCCGTGTGCCTGGTAAATTAAATGTTCAAAAAAAAATCCCCAAGATGGCTTTAATCAACCCATTGAGATGGTGTGTGGCCTCCTCCCACTGGAGGGAACCCCTCCCCCCAGCTCAGGGTCTTGGAGGAGGGGAGGACGTTAGGACAGTGCCCCAGGGGTGCCTGCCGGTGCAGGAGGGAGGAAGGTGAAAGGTCTCCAGGTCCTAGCTCCTCTCAATCCAGACCACAGGAGCCCAGGATAGGGGGCTGAAAAGGGACAAGGAGGAGGGGGAAGTGGGGGAACTCTGCCCCCCCCTCTGGCTTGCTCTAATCTCTGCCCCAGGCCAGGGGTGGCCATGGGGGCAGGCAGGGGGGCTGCTTCTCTCGGGGTCTCTCTCCTGACCCGAGACCTTGGTGGGGACTCTGTGGCCCTCGGATGTGTTTGTGATGAGCAGTTTGGTGCAGCTGGGTGGAGGCAATCCCTCCGGCTGCCTCTTGGGGGAGTCAGGGGAGGAATCTGGTGAGTGGAGGTGGGGTGGGGAGGTTACATGGTCCTTTCCAGGGGACAGAGAGGGCGCAGGGCTGGCCCCGCCTTAGCACCCTAGCCAAGCTGTTATGTCCTGCCATCTGCTCAAGGTGCCTCCGAAAGGGTCCAGCTCTCTGACCTCCAGGCCTCTCTTTTTCAACCTTCTCCTCGCCTTGCCAGTTACCTTACAGGCCCCGTTCAAGGCCCATCTCCCCTGGGCGGTGTTCCCTGACTCCCCCTTAACTCTCAAAAGCTCCCCCAGGGGCCTAGGTCATTTAGGCGACCCTGCCTCTCTGGTCCGCTCTCCCCAGGCAGGCAGCCGGCCCGCTTGGCCTGCACCAGCAGGGGGCGCCCGCCAGCACGCGAGACTGGGGGCCGCGCACAGCAGGAGCGCGGGATCAGGGTCTGAGTTTGTGTTCGGGCAGAGCGTCCAGGCCCCAGATTACGACCGTGATTTGGCCGCACCAGGATGCCAGCCTGAATCTTCCAGCTGCGGGGAGTTACTGGAGCGGCCAGAGGGTCTTGGAGGAGGGGAGGACGTTAGGACAGTGCTTCAGGGGTGCCTGCTGGTGCAGGAGAGAGGAAGGTGAAAGGTCTCCAGGTCCGAGTTCCAGGAGGGGGTCTGGGTCAGGGACAGAGAAGGCTGCGAGTGGCGGTGGAATCGGGGTTTTGGAGCGGGGGCACTGCGACGCTCTGGGGTCCTGGCAGGGTGGGCCTTGGGGATCCATAGACCGAAGCTGAGGTGTGGGATGGGGCTAACGAGGAGTCGCCCCACACAGGGGCGCCCTGGAGCATGGGCAGTCACTCAAGGTCACCGTGCTGTGTACACGTCTCCAGGGACTGGGACCCCAAGGCCAGGAGTCCCCGGGACCGATTAGAGGGGAGGGGCTGCGATATACCCTCTGTCGGCAGAGGTTTCTCGCGTCCTCCTCCCTCCCTGTGCCTCCAGGCCAGGGCACCAGGCAAAGGCACGCGAGGCAGGGGGACGAGGACCCACAGAGAGTGGGGCCCTCGTCCCCTCCCCCTCCGGACCTTGTGTCGGGATATGGCTCGCCTCCGGGGCGGAGGGGGCGCTGTCGGCGCGGGCGGGCGGGGCAGGAGCGCGGGGGCGCGCGGCGTGAAGCGAGCACAGGTGCCGCGGGCGCGGGCCGCGGAGTACTAGGAGCCTGGCGGGCGGCTCTGCGCCGTGCGGGGCGCGGCGGCGGCGGGCACGCGGCCAGTGAGCGCGCGGGCAGGGAGGCGGTGGCGGCGGCAGCGGCGGGAGGAGCTCGGAGCCGCTCCCCGCGCTCCGCTCCTCCATGGCGCTGCCCGGGCCGCCCGAGCAGCCCCGTGGCGCGCCCCGCAAGGCGCCCAGCCTGCTGGAGATGGGGGCGCTCTGCCTGGACTCGGAGATCATCCTGGGCTTCACCAGCCACCTCCTGCGGCGGCGAGCCAAGGTGAGGGCCGGGCAGAGGGACTCGGCTGGAGGCAGAGGCGCTGTCCCGTGACTTTGCGGCGCGGCTCCCGCGGCTCAGGGTGCCGCGCGGGGAATGAGGTGCAGGTCCTTAGCAGCGTCCCGCAGCCCGGGCCGGGGACTCGCTGGCTCACTTTCCCCAATTCGTGCTGCCCCATCTCCTCTCACCTGAAGGCTACGTCCTGAGCTGGAGGCAGTCAGCCAGGGCGGAGAGCGCAGAGCAGACTCCGGGTCCCACCGCGCGCCTTGATGGGGTGGGCGAGGCATGGAGTCGGGGTCTCGTGGAGGAGCCTGAGTCCCTGGGGTGACTCCAGGTCCCGCGTGTACCTCCGGAATCTGCGGGGCTGTGCCCCCGCCCTCTCTGGGGACCGGGGTGTGGGGTGTGAGTGTTTCCCAAAGCGCCGCAGTGGTGCGTGCTGACGACCGAAGTTGCGGGTGTGGCCGGCCCAGGTCGTAAGACTGGGGCTCCGCGTCAGTGTTTGTGGGAGCGCATGTGGGTTGTGAGTGTGTGTGTGTGTGGCGGGGAGCCGCGCTTCCCGGGCCTGGTGTGTGTGTGTGTGTCCCAGAGCAGTAGAGGGGCGGGGGCGGTGCTGTCTGTAGGCAGTTGGGGAGGGGGCAGTGGTGTCCGGGGGTACCCAGATCCAATGGGGGCTGGAGCCCGTTGTCCTCAGGGAGGCTGCGAGGAGACAGGAAATGGGAAGTGCTTCTGGCCTTTGGGCCGGGTGTTAAGGGACTGGAGGCTATAGGACCGCAGAGTGAGTGGGGAGACGCTGCCCACCTTATTCCCCCAACTCCCGCCACGTTGCAGGTCATTAACGACTCGGAACGCCGGGAGATGATCCACCGTTCTTTTTGGAGGAGTGCGCGCAGGGGTGGGGAAGACTTTCCAAGTAAAAGGGTGGTGGGCTAACCGTAACGGAGAAGGCAGCTTTGAGGGGCTCAGGAGAGGCGGGGAGTGTGTGAGGGTCTCACTGTGCGCGCGGGGAGCCGCGGGCTGCGTTCTCCACCTGGACCACAGCCCGCCAGCCTGCCCAACTCTGGCTCGGCTTCTGGTCCCCAGGGAGCGACTTCTCGCCCCGGGACAAGCGGCGCCAGGTCTCTCTTCAGGCTCAAGGCGGCGGATGCGCGGTGGCCAGCAGGGGTCGCTCGCGTCACGGGAAGGCGGGCGTCCGCACCCGCCCCGCCTGACCCCGGTTTCGGGCCGACCCAGAAGAGGGACCCAGAACCTCCTGCCGCCTAGGATAGCGGCGACTCTTTAGGGCCGGGCTGGAGCGGGAGCAACTGGTCGCTGGAGGGGGGCGGGGGCGACCTCCCAGTCGGAGACAAACAGGCAATTAATTCCGGAGCTAAGTTCCCATCTGCCAGGCCGGTTGACAACAGGTCCCGCGCACACCCACAGGGCCAGCCGCGCCACCTCCTCCCGCTACTCTGGCACAAAGCACGCACACCCACCTTCGTGCACACGCACGGCTGCAAAGACACGCGTGCCCCTCGCAGACACGCCTAGATACTGATACACTGCCTGGGGTATTGCACGTTCCGAGGCGCAGACCGCGGAGTCACTCACCCACGCGCGACAGACCCAAAGGGTGGCCAGCGACACGGAGTGCACCGGATTTGCAGGAGAAAGCGCCGGGGAATCGGGGGGCCTAGGTTCGGCCCCTTCCTCGTCCCACCTCCTTGTGTGACGTCGGGGCCTCAGTTTCTAGCCTGTAAAGTGAGGAGTGGGTTGGTGCCTCCCAGGAGACGCGCAGACCCTAGTGTCCCAGCCAAAGAGCAGGAAGGCGCATGCGCGAGCGCGTACTGTGTGTCTTCAAGCAGCCCGCAGCACCCCTCCCTGGGGCTGGGACTCGCCCAACAAGTTGGGGTCCTTGGAGTGGGAGGGGCCGCGCAGCGGGGTAGGATCCCCTCCCCCACTCTGCCTAGCAGAGGGCGGGGGAGGGGCGGGGCGGGGCCGTCGTCCCGGCTCCCCGCCCCCACTGGCCCGGCCCCGCCCCCGCCTACCGAACGCGCTCGCCGCGGTCAGCGCTCGCTCTCTGCCACTCGCCAGCCCGCGCCGCCAACTTCGGAGCGGCCGGCGGGACCATGGGGGCGCCCCCGGGCCGCATCACGTAGCCGCGCCGCCCCCGACAGCCCGCGCGGCCCCGAAGCTCCCGCCCGGCTCTTCCTGCGTCCCGGCCATGGGCGGCCGCGGCGTCCCCCTGTGCGCCGCGCAACCAGCGGTACGCGCGGCGGGGCCCGGAGTGGGAGTCGGACGGCGCGGGGCTGGAGGGCGCCGCGGGACAGTCCTAGACGCCGAGGATGGTCACCGGGTGCGGGGCGCCCCCTAGGGGCCAGGCATGGAGGGAGCGCGGGGGCTGCCGGGCCTCTTGCTGGGAGGGACGCTACCTAGCCCGACCCGGATGGAAGGAGAGGGTGGGCGCAGGTTCGCGCCCAGCGCTCCTAACTTTGTCCAGTGTGTAACGGGGGGAGGGGCGGGGGGGCGGCGCAGGACGCACTGATGTCCGGATTCATCGGGATTGTGCCGCAACGGCCCAGGCTTACTGTCCCCTTCCCCACTCACTTCCCGCAGGTGGCAGAGGGTGGCCCGGCCCGGGAGCCGCTGCAGCTGGTGGAGGTGGCCCCCCGCAAGAGGCTGCCCGCCGGGCCCGAGCAGGACCCATGTGGCAGCCGTCCTGCGCCCGAGGGTGCCGGGGCGGGTGCAGAGCAGGGCCACTTGGCCGTTGGAGGTGGCTGGTGCCGCCACTGCCACACGAAGCTCGCCGAGCTCAAGCGACAGGCATGGAAGCTGGTCAATGGGCCCGGGACACCCCTCCGGGTATGTGATCTTTTCAGTGGTTTTGGCCAGTCCTTTCTCTCTGGGCCTCAGTTTCCCTGTCTGTAACAGTGTGTATGAGTTGGGGTGTTGGGATTGGAGGGGGCTTGGTGGGTGTTTCTGCCTGAGCTGCAGAGCTGCAGATGTCCCACAGCTGGAGCCACAGCCTGTGTTTGGTAGGGGGAGGGGAGCGAGGGATGGCAGGGACTCCACCCAGGGCAGGACAGCTCCTGCCCTGCCAGCAGTGAGGTTATTTGGTGCATTGTTACCCTTGGGGCACCTGGGCCCCCAGCCAGGTGTCTGGAAATTGTACACCTGGGGCAGGAGGGCTTGGAAGACCAGAGGGTGGGTGGCCCTACCTGCCTCTCCTAGTGTCATGGGTAAGAATTGTGTGTGGGACACAGTTGGGGTTTTGCCGCCTTAGGCAGTGGCCACCCATCTGGGACTTGAGTGGCTGGGCCCCTGGGTTTCCCAGGCTTCCCATCCCAGCTGCCAAGGTGTTTGCCAGGGGAGGAGGGGGCATCCTCCAGCCAATGGGCTTGCCTGGGTCTTGGAAGGAGCTGGAAGCATTGTTCAAGGAACAATGCACCCTGGAAGTTTGCAAAGCCTGGGAAGGTGGGGGTCTCCAGAGGAAGCCCTTCCCGCCTGACCTTCAGTCTTTTTGAAAGCGTTCCTGGGAAGTCCGAATAATCCCCATTGAATCTAAATATAGTTCTCCAAGTCAGCCATGTGGCCTGGGGGTGGGGGTGAGACCTTGGGCTCCTGAGGTCCCATGTGTTCCCTGTGTGTGCTGTCTGGGGCAGACAGGGTGGTGTGAGTTTGGTTTCTGTCCTGGGCACTCTCTGTGGCGGGGGGGGGGGGGGAACCTATGGTCTGTCCTGGGGTGGGGCTGGACGCTTCCCCCTCTGCTCTGATCAGGATGCAGCCTTGCCAAGCTCTGTGTCCCAAAGACATCATAGGACCTTCAGGCCCTCAGCAGGGGGTAGTTCAGGACAGACTCCTAGGGACCCGTAAGAGCTATAGAGCCATTGTGCCGCCCCTTCAGGGGAGACTGAGGCCAGAGAGAGGAGAGGCTTTATGACTGAGCTGGGCTTTGCCTGGTGGCACTGGGCATGTGGCCAGCTGGTCACAGATGGGTGGGGGATCCTGATGGAGAGAGCTGCAGGTCACACCAGTCACTGGTGAATTCGAAGGTCCCTCTGGGCGGGGCTTCGTGGTCTCTTTCTGCAGACAGCTCATCAGGGAAGCCCCCAGACCACTTAGGTCCCATCGGCCCTGGCCTTTCCTGAGTTTGGTGTTTGACACTGGGTACCCCTCAGTGCCAAGTAGGGCTCACCCCCTTCCCCTGCCTTCCCTGGCACCCAGTGGCCTGCTCACCCAGCAGACCAGGTCCCAGGCATTATTCCCGATCTGCAGCCTCCTCCCCCACTGTTTCCCCTTGTCAGATGAGGGCAGCCTCCAGAGGCTAGACCAGGAGTGCTGTCCACCCTGAAGGGTGCTGTGCCGCAGGGAGGGAAGGCCCTCTGTCCACTGTTTATCTAGAGAGCATGAAAACAGCCCATGGGGGCTTAGCCACCCTGGCCACAGGATGCGGGGGGCTGGGCCTGAAACCCTGGGACCTTGGCAGGTGTCACTGTCCTGTGACCCAGATTCCCCCTGTGTCCTGGCTGACTTGCAGCCTGTAGCCTGGCCCCGCCTGCCCCAGACCTTCCTTCAGGGAAGGCCGGGAGGCGGGGTCCGGACACACACGCAGCTGCTTCTACTTCTGGTTTGGGAAGGAGAGCTCGGGGCAGCAGGGGTGGGCAGCTGACAGGGCACAGGGCAGATTGACCTGCTGTCCTAGGGGTGTCCCCAGGGCCCTAGTTTCTCATTATGAGGCGAACTCCACGATGACAGCACTTAACAATTTACAGAGAACGTTGCCTGTGTCTTCTTACTTGGCCTTGGTGGCTTGCTGGGCTCCTACCGTTGGGGTGGGGTAGAGCTGGGGCCCGGTGACTGGGGGGATCCATGCCTGGTCTCAGGTGTAGACCCCAGTTGGCTCCTTGCCCACCTTCCTGCCAGCAGACGAGACCCTGCTGTGGGACCGTGGGCAGGTCCGCCGAGAGCTGGGCCTCGGTTTCCCCTCCAGACCTGGGTCGCCTTGGTACCTATTACACAGGTGCCAGCACAGGGCGGCTCACACTCCTCAGCCCTTGTTGCTTGTGCCGTGATGCGGGCTCGAGGGTGACGGTTGCGTCTGGCTTTGGTGGCCGGGGGGCAGGCGGTGGGTGGGTGTGTCGGTCAGTCTGCCAGCCACCAGTTGCCTGCGTGTGGGGCCCCCTCTCCCCTGCTGCCCTGTGCTCTCTTCTCCCTGTGCTGGCCTTGGCTTCCCATCTGGGCAGCAGGGATGACCATGGTCCCCACCCAGGACCCCATTCATGATAGGACCATGCCCTGCCCCCTTTCTGAACCCTGATGCCCTGGAGTGTAGGGGAGTGGGCACATGCTCTGCCCACCCAGGTTGGAGCCTGGGACACTATCCTTCCTGAACTGAGCAGGACAGATGGGGCCTCCAGGCTGAGCACCCCTCACTGGGCTCCCCATTGTGCCACCTCTGACCCTGCCAGGGTCTCCAGGTGACCCCTTCAGGACCCCACATGGCCTGGAACCACCCCTCTGGACTGTCCTCCCGTGGCCTCTATGGGCCTCTCTTGTGAGTCCTGCCACAGGTACCCTCCTCCTCCCTGGCCCCCAGCTACCCTGCCAGTTGCTGCCCTCAGCTCAGTGTGCCCTCAGCCCCTCCAGGCACCCCTGCAGCTGACAGGTCTCTGCTGCCCCCCAGCCCTTCCTGTCCTGTGTCCTCACCCAGCACAGCAGCCTGGTCACCAGGTCCTGCAGACTCCTCCGCCCAGCCCGCGATGCCTGCCCATCCCTAGCTGCCCGGCCTCAGGGCAGCCAGAGGGGACTCGCCAAGGTCTGGACCCAGCAGGAGGGTCTCTGGCAAGTCCCTGGCCCCACTGTCTCAGCCTGGTCCTGCCAGACCGCGGGCCTCGTTCTCTCACTTTATCCCGTGGTGGTTTGTCACGAGCACCCCTTTTGCAGACGCCCCAGCCCCCTGTCCCTCCCATGCTTATCTGTGGGAACCACAGCTTGGGTCACCCGATGTCCTGTGGACACACCTGGGCAGCTGACTGCGGGAGGGACTCAGAGCCCACCTACCCGCCTCACCTTGAGTCCATGGCACAGAGCTCTGGCAGCGTGCCCTGTGCGTCCGGGCCCCCACCCCCAATCCCACCCCGACCCTCTGCAGGAGCTCTGCCAGGGCAGGTGCAGGGTCCAGGTCGCCCATGATGTTTGCTGAATGACTGAGTGACTAGGCTTTTCCTCCTATGCCCGTTGTGTCCACCCCAGGGCAGCTGGGCTGACCCCAGCTCTCTCCCCACCCCCCACTGAGGTGACAGCCCCCACGGAGGATGAGGGTCCCTGCCTCCTGGCAGCCGTGGGGGTGGGGGCCCTGGTTGGGGCTCTGGTCCAGCTGCCACCCAGATGTGTCGTGACCGAGGTGAGGACTCCCCTCCTCTGGAGACCTGGACACTCGACATTCGAGGTGTCAATACAGGTGCTGAATTGATTAGCGTCCTCCTGGGGCAGAATGATCAATTCTCATTTAGTTTTTGCAGATCTCTGTGTCTCTCCAAGGCAGGGGTCTGGTCCTCCCTGCCCCCTGCCCATGGCCCGCCGTGTGGCCACGCATCCGTTTACACCGAGGATTCTGAAGGCTGCTGGGAGATCGGGCTCTTGTCCAGTGCCCAGCTCGGTGACCCGGAGCCCCCCTGCCTGTCTCTGGGACCCGGCCTGGAGGTGGCGGTCCTGCCAGCTCTCTGCTCCCTGGTCACTCCCCCAGGAAGCCTTCCCGGCCGTCTGTCTCCATGGCTCCCACTGAATTTCACCAGGCGGGCGTGTGAGGGTGGGGTCCTGGGTCTGTCGTCTGCAGCTGTGGCCCTGTATGGAGTCTGGCCTGAGCTCCACCGGCTGCTGGGACCACCCCGAACCAGGGCCATGGAATCTGCCTTGGGCTCCAGAGGGCAGGGCACCTGGCCCTCAGCAGTGCTCCCTGAGCCAGGTGTTGGCAGGCTGCAGAGGCAGCCAGGGAGGTGTGAAAGGGGCGGGCACTCCCTGGGGCCGGCTGCCGGGCAGTGTCCCAGCTGGCAGGGTGCTGGATGACTCAGCTGGGAAGGGATCGTCTGTGGGACTCCGAGGCTCCCAGCAACGCTGGAACTGGACCTGGCAGGGGAGAGCGGAGGCCAGGCAGGCCTGGCTTCCTCTCCAGCCTCTGAGACCTCAGCTGGCCCTTCCCCGGCCCGGGCTGGCTCCTTCCTCCTGAGATAGATGCTCCAGTTGGTCCTCTCTGTCCCTGGGGACTTACGTTGGCTCCTTGTGCTCATCTTGTCTCTCTGCTGGTTCCAGGGGTGAGGGCGGCGGTGGGGGCTGGGATTGAGCAGGATCCAGAGCAGAGGGGGGCGTTGGGAGCTGGCCGGGGTGCAGGAGCTTTGGTTCTGGCCAAGGAGTCCAGCCGCCGTCCGAGGCGGGGCTGAGTAGGGGCTTGAGCTGTGCCTGGCCTCGCTGCCCCTCTGTTGAGAGGTGGAGGTCCGGGAGGGACGGAGGGAGGCCCCAGGTCACCCCTGAACCTCAGGCTGCTCAGAGCCTGGCCTGGGGATTCGCGATGATTTAGAATGGATTCAGGGAGTGGGCTGGGGCCTTCTCAGGGCCCCTTTAGCGTCCTGAAAGATCTCGTATTTGAGAGTTCGAAGAGCAGGGTCTTTTCTCAAATAGCAAGGAAAATCTAGTTTCCCGTTTCCCTTGCCTGCCAGGAGGCTCACGGCTCTCACCTCTACCAACCACACGGGCCCTTCCTCACGTGTCTGTGGGAACCGGTCGCTCCTTTGGTTCTAAGGTGACTGTGGCCCCGTGGTTCTGTCTTTACCTTGCACTGTGTCCTGGGACCACCGCACAGGCTTGGT